AGGGGACAGGGGACTCGCGGTCCCTTGCAAGTGCTTCTTCTGCTTGGGTTCAGGATCATAGTCACGAGTGGCTGTAGAGACCGCTCTGGAGCAGGCAGCAGCTCTCAGGAACCTCCCTGTCTGGGCTTTGGAGATGAGATCATTACGAGGGGACTCGCGGTCCCTTGCAAGTGCTTCTTCTGCTTGGGTTCAGGATCATAGTCACGAGTGGCTGTAGAGACCGCTCTGGAGCAGGCAGCAGCTCTCAGGAACCTCCCTGTCTGGGCTCCTCCACTTGGAGATGAGATCCACGCAAGACAGCTTGGCCTGTGTCTGGATGCCGATGGCCTCATTTCCAGCTGCTTCTGCTCTCTGACACTAGGTTTTGCAGGATCTATGCTTTGGGAGAAAATCCCACCAGCTTGGTGTGGCTTGGTCTCCTAGGACTGCTCCGCTATGGATTCCTACACCTCTCAGCTCTGGCCATTAGCACAGGAAGCCCTGTGTGGTAGCCCTGCTGTGCACTTTCCAGCTTGGCTTCTGCTCTGCCTCATCCAGCTCTGCAGGGTTTCCTGTCAGCCCCAAAACACAACTGGAAATCAGTTGATAGGAATCTGCCCTTTGTCTGGAGGGAGCAGGGGAGTCTGCAGGGGAGGAGGGTTCAGAATACCTTGTATTTCTATGTGTGTGCAGAAAGGTGAGTGTGGTGCCTGTGTTCTGCACCCTAGCTGGCCGGGGAGCTACTGTTATAGGCAGGAAGAAGAGAGTCCAGTGTTAGGAGTCAGGCGATGTGACCAGGATGCTGGGCAGTGGGGCTCTGGAATTCAAGTGGGAAGGATTCCTACAGGTGTGAGCCTGCCCTGCCTGCCTCTGCCTGTCATCCTGTGACCCGCTGCTGATTTCCTATTGTCCTCCCTAGACTGGAAAACCTCTGCTGAAAGCTCTGTGAATCCTAGCTGGCCTCCAGGCAGCTGCACTCCTGTCACCTGGGGTCCAGTGGATGGGAGGGGGACTGATTTTACCCCATCCCTGGGGTGTGGCTTCCTGCTGCACAGCTCAGATACTGTGTCCTGTGCTGCTTCTGTGAGCACTGCAGGAGAGGTGCTGCCTCCAACTGACTGGAGCCACCCAGCCCCCTGGTGGCCACCAGATGATTCTTAACAAAACAGCCTCTAGCAGTCTGTATAGAGGAGGCTCCCCACGGAGAAGGAGGCAGGGTCCCACTGCTGACAGGGGAGGTGGAGCCTCTCTCCAGGAGTGGGGCTCCCTGGGGTGAAGAGGCAGTGTGATTTTCACCAGCTAGCATGGGTCATTGCTTCAGTGATAGTGGAAATTACACTAAGGCCACAGCATGAATTAATAGGCAGAAGCTTTATTCGGTAAGTTTATTATAGACAAAGAAATAAAGCTGACTGTCTTGTAGGCAGCTGCAGGAAGAGACAGAGAAGGCAGCTGCTTCATAGAGAGCTCCTCGCAATGGATATATCATTTTTATGATGTCTCAAAGTTATGTCATAATTACTTGGGCATTTTCTCAAAAGACACTGGGGTCTCTGTACAGGATGTTTACTTGTTGTGCAGTGTGAGTTTGCACAGTGCCCCCAGTGTGCTTGCAAATGTGTCATGTCTCCCCTCTGAGTGGAGATTTATTATGAAAATGCATTCTAATGAAGGTAGACTGAAGTTTATGGCCCCTTCGTCAAATCCATGTAGGTCTTTGCTCACACCAGCCTCATCCAGTTTGCAAGAGCACCTACCCTCTTGTGCCAAGAACTACAGTGGCTTGCTCACTTCTCGAATAGCTTGATTCACCTTCCTCCTCTTATACCCGGAATTGCAGCTGCTTACCCGTTGTTTCTCAGACTGCTACTTTATGGCCCTGGCATTACCTTTCTGTCTCATCAGGACCTGATGCATTTATAACAGAAACAGTGCATGTGGGGTCTCTCAGGACAATGCCTCAGATGCAGGCCACCACCAAGGCTTGGGGAACACTTCTGGACCCACAGTGGGCATATGAAGTCTTAGGGGAGGTTCTTCTGGGCCCTCCTGTTGCCTGTCATCAGTTGATGTCTGTGTGATGCCAGGGCCAAGGAAGACTTGATTCCAGACTAGGAATTCATTCCTAATGACCTTGAGCACAGCCTTCAAGTTTGGCATCTAGCCCACTCTGCACTTTTTCTCCCACTGGTCATCTTGGCCTTTGTAGTGTCATGTTGCTGGTAAAGACAGGTGCTACTTAAGTGGACAATCACAAGAGTGTTTCACACATTGTATTTGAGATCCAGAATACATGGTTGATTCAGATAAAAACTTCAAGGTGTGGGAGGGACCTTGGATTAAGTTGCCTTATGAATTAGTCCCAGGACTCTCTGACCGGGCTGCAATCTATCTGGTGGGAAGAAGTGAATGCAATTTGTGTCAAATGAAAGCAAAAGTGAGGCAGAGCTCGTGTAGGTACAACCTGGTTCACAGGCTCTCTGACCCAAGAAACTGCCAGCCCTTGAAAGGGGTGTTTTTAAGGTGGACTGGGAAAAGACATGGCACCTTAATGGCTGCTGGAACACTTATGCCAGTGCTCAACCCATGCACATGTTGGACTGTGGGGAGAGTTTGTTACTGCTTCTGCTGCTGCTGCTGCTGCTGCTGTCTTGGCTTCCCAGAGAAGTGACAGCAAAGTCTGAAACCCTCAACAACCCTTCTGGCCAAGGCTCTCGGCTCCGTGGAACGTCATAGTGATGTGCTGACTGAATCCCTACTGCTGAGTCAGAGGCCTGAGGGAAAACCCGGTGCCATGGCTTTTGCATTTGGATACTTTTCTGGGCTCAGGGCCCTGTGCACATTCAGAATATCAGCAGCAGCGTATGTCCAATGGCGAGAGTTGGGTCCTCAAATCTCTCTTCAGCTCACAGAGTTCTGCTTTTGGTTTAGCAAGGAATCAACGAAACAGAATCATTTACTTCTCACTGTTTAAGGCATGATTCTGGTTGACACAGGGAATTCCAGAGAATTCCACACTCTGACCTGGATCCTGAATTGGAGCTGGGTCTGCCTAAGGCTCAGGGGTTATAAAAATAAGCACAGCTAAGCCTCCTTCTTCTTATAGGCTGTCAGCATAGTGTCATCCACATCCTGCTGGTGCTATAGCTTGAATGCACGTAGCCCTCCAACATTCCTGTGTTGAAACTTCACCCCCAAGATGATGGCATTAACAGGTGAGCCCTTGAGAGGCGATCAGGCCAGGAAGGCTTCTCTCTCAGGTGTGGGATGAGTAGCCTGCCAAAGGGCTTGAGGCCATGAGTTCAGCCCTTCCAGCCCTCCTGCCAGCTGAAGACACCTCAGTGGTGCCATCTATGATGAGCGGTCCTCATCAGCCACAAAGTCTGCTGGTGCCTTGTCTCGGACTTCGTGGTCTTCACCTCTGTGAGAAACCGATTTCTGTTCTTTATAAACGATCCGTTCTCTGATGTTTTGTTACAGCAAATGAACTGAGACACATGCTTGAAGACAAACCCTTCTGCCTGCCAAAAATACTGAAACTTGTGCTAAAGGGAAAAGAAAACGTGCACTTGTGTCTCTTGCAAAGACTAATCTCATGGCACATAAAGAGATCTACAGGGAAATGACAGCAGACATAGAGACATTACAAAAAGATAACTACAACTATAATGACTTGCCTACTCCTTGCCTGTTATTAAAGAATGACAATTAAAAATTAGAGCAGCTTCCTACCGGAACTTAACAGAGGGTGAAGATCCAGTAGTTGAATGAATATCCACTCTTCTGACCAGGGCATGGGAACAGGCATTTGCTTCTCAGTGACTGGAGGACATGATTGTCCACTAAGTAGGTGCAGCCACTAGGCAGCACTTGCTATCAGAGTTGCAGATACTCTCGGCCTTTAACTCTCTATCTGATTGTTGGGAAGCTTCCCTTCCTGTATATCTATATTGGTAAGGAATGACATCATGGATGATTGCAGTGCTGGGTACACTAGAAAAACCACTGAGTATCACAAGTGTTTACTAAAGGAGGCTATTTAAATAAAATGTGGTTCGTCAGGCCATGGCATAGTGTACTGTGCAAATATAGCATAAGTGATGAAAGAGAACGTGCAGGCTCTCCCACCTTGGAGGGAAGGGAGCAAAGTGGGCAGCATTGGGTGAAATTTAGAATATGGTTTAGGATGAGCTTCTGTGCCCTCTAGGAGAGCTTAGTGTATAAGGGTGGTGTTATATTCCTGTATCAAGTGAGATGTCCTCAGATATATTACGGGTATTGTCTCCTCTAACATCTACTCCCTGTGCACCTGAAGGCCTTGCTCTGGAAACTGCCAGACCCTGACACACCCCATTCAACACGTCAGGTGGACAAAAGCAAAGGAGAGTGAATATGTCTGGCTATGGCGCCCCCAAACCAACAGGGTTCTGTGAGCTCAGGGACTCCAGGCCTGGAGAGGTATAGGCCATAGAGAGCAATACATGTGACATGGGTGAGACCCAGGGTCCCTCAGCTCCTAGGATAGACCAGATGACCCCTACCGGGCTGTCAGGAGCACTACTGCAAGCTGGGGGAAGGTTCCAGAAGGAGCTTGGAAGAGACCCTGCAGAACAGCAAGTGAGAGGAGGGCACGGAGCAGTGGTCACTGGGCCAGAAAACCCAACGGGTGGGCTGAGGTTTCCCTTGGGGGGAGGGGCAGAGATCTGAGCTGATGGACGTTAGGCAAGAAGGGTAGGGAGGAGAGGGGGCTGTTGGCTGAACGCGGTGGGGTTGAAGGGGTGTAGGGGTGCAGGCTGAGCACTGTCCTCCGTAGGCTGGTGGAGTGAACACATCTGACATGAGGCTCCTGCTGGCTTTGTTCCTGTTCGTGGCCCTGAGCCTGGGCCTGCAGCATGTGGAGACAGATAACCGGACCAAAAGGCAAGGTATGCAGGCTCCCTGAACAGTACGATTCCTGAGAGGGCCTTCCCCGGTAGACAAAGTGGGACCCGGCCTGAGCTAGGGAGCTGAGAACCAGGAGCTGAGTCACATAGGCAGCCCTCACAGACCTGGCACCTTAGGCCTTTGGCCTTGTGAGGACAGAGTGGCTAAGGGCTCCCAGCATCTTCTTTGAGCTGGCTGTGCAGGAGCTCTGTTCCAGGACTGGCCCCTAAAGGATAGGGCAAGGCACCCCAAGGGCTCTTCACAGGGCAGCTGGAGGCATTGGAGGTTCATGAGGATGTGGGTGGCACACACTAGTGCTGAGCACTGGGTGACTGAGCAATACACTTGGTCATGAGTGAGAGAACCCCAGAGAATGGACATAGAATGTAATGGCACAGATGGGCTGGGAGGTAGGGAGGCAAGGAGCTGGGCAACAACTAGCAACTTCGAGGTTCATGGGGGATTCATTCCACAGAAGTGAAGTCTGTGGCATTTTTTTTGTTTCTTTTTATTTCCTCATTTCAGATGCTCTTATGTGTCACATCTGTGAAAGTGAGAATAACTTTGGCTGTTCAAACCGGGGGAATTGTGCAGTACATGAAAAGTATTGTGTAATCGTTGTCACAAGTAAGTATCTCAGTTCATGCGGAGGGTCCCAGCAGCAGGGCAATAAATACCTTCAGGAATTAAGAGCTGTCTAGTTTGCCTCACTGGAGCACAACTAATGAAAAGTGACCTTTAAATGATTTTTGAAAAGCAAAGCTCTGAGAGACCATGAGTATGGCAGGAGAGGGAGGCCCAGCTTTGGACAGCATAGAGGCAGCACAGAATGGTGCCCACCAGCAGGTAGTCCACATGGAGTATTGGGGAGAGGATCAGATGACAATAAGGATTAACAATGGCGCATGCCTGTGATCCCAACATTCCGGGAGGCTGAAGCAAGAGGATTGCAAACTCAAGCCCACTTGGACAACATAGTAAATTAGCAAGACTGTCTCAAAATAGAAAATAATAAAAGGGCTGAGGATGTACCATCAAAAAAAAATGAGATTTATCTGAGACAAGGTCTCATTATGTAGATCAGTCTGTCCTTGAACTCACTATGAACCCACTATGTCCTTGAACTCGTGATCGTCATGCCTCTGCCTCCCGACTGCCAGCTTACTTACATGTGGGGTTTTTTTGTCTTGTCTCTTTATTTAGTTTGGTTGGGTTTTGATTTTTTGAGATAGTTTATCCATTTTTAAATTAAAAAAAAAGCTCTAATGACGTCAGGTACCTTACCATGAATAGCATCTAGAGTTTTGTAGGGTATAGGCTTGAAGGATGCTGGTTTTCTCTTTCTTTCTCTTCCCGGTACTGAGGAGTGAACACATGACCTTCCAACTGAGCTACAACCCTCTTCCTTCCC